AAAAAAAAAAAAAAAAAAAAAAAAAAAAAAAAAAAAAAAGCCACAGTACATTAGCGTGCACAGCTGGTGAATAGCCAGACGAATATCTATGAATTTTATAGTGAAAGCAATTTTTCTTTTACCTCGGTACAGCTCCTGGCTATGTGTTAAGATAACCCAATACTTGTAGTTATCTAATGTAAGTTGATTACATTCATTTATTAGAAAGAATAATTCACCCAAGTCAATTTAAAAGCTTTTAACTAGCATCAATCAAAGTTTTATTTTAGCAAGGTACACTGGCATTTAGTATAGTATAGGCTATTCAACATAAGGCCATTGAGATCTATTAGTTCTTTTACAGAAAAGTACCTTGTGGAAAATATGTGCATTTATAGATATATAAACAAGTATATAAATAAATAATATAAAGGAACATAACTACAGCATATCCGCCTGGATTAAATGCAATGTACCATTAGCTGACAGTATCTCCTCCAATATTAAACTAATGTTTGACATTCTTGTGTAGAACCGTGACAGCTCTCGTATAACGTAATCCAGTCGTGAAAACATCCAATGCCACAACATGCAGCGCTCAGGCTAATTTTTGTCTAATTTTTTATTATAATACATTTATACCAAACCATGAGAAATAAAACCATATATACCAAATAAATACCAAACCATGCACAACGTGTCTTTTTGTTTATATATTACAACAAACTAACAAAGAAACAGATAAACAAACAAAAATGATTTATCACCTCCTATGTTCTATTTTATCAATGTTTTCCAGGGCTTTAGTGGGAATGCTAATTGCTGTGATATTAATTACCGACGTCGCACATGCTAATCAGAACAACTTCCAGCCATGGTTTTACGAAACAAACCAGGCAGCGGGGCCTTCAAACGCAGCGGGTGACACGGACACTTTCTTCTTCAAGGCGGGCGGGGAGCAGCAGCCCCCGGACGTTCAGTCGCCGTGTGCCGTAGGAGGCAGTTCCTCATGCAGTAACCCTGGTCCCAACATCAACGACTTGCCATCCTGGATAGTCGCCTCACCCGACTCACCTGCGTCCTCCTCGGCGCCACCGACAGGACAGGCACCGACATCTAGCGGGGCATGTCAGACATTCCCTTGGTTATGTCTCGGTACCAATCCACCACCAACGCGACCAAACGTGACTCCGCCTCCATCTACGGGAGCGCCTCCGCCGCCACCGAGTTATTGTCAGCAAAACCCGTGGATGTGCACTGGAACTACGCCGCCAGCGGCAAGTGCCACACCGTCCCCCCATATATGCCAACAGTACCCGTGGACGTGTCTCGCTCAAAGTACTGCCCCTCCACCAACAAACATAGGTAGGGAAGACTAACACGCTTCGGGAGCGACGTGTTTTGTAATCCAACAAAATAAGGTCCTTTTTTAAATTTAAATTGTTATACTTTCAAAGGTTGCGCTTCCCCAAACAAGAGTGTTTAATGCATTTTTCGTCATGACTGCCGCGGCTCATACCCCAACTTATAAAATATCTTCATTTAAGATATATTCCAATTATATTTTCATTTTATAGGATACCTGTACGTACCACATTATCAAACCTATTTTGAAAAAAAAACAAATCTACTTTTCATTCCCTAGCTCCGAGAGCCTGTTGTGTTATGGGTCAACGTGTAGTTACCGGCAGAACGTGTTCTCAGCGTGCCGCCACCCTCGCTGGCGTGTGCAGGACTGAGTTCCTGACGTGCTGTAGCTGCTGCGCCATGGGAGCGGTGCCCGCTGTCAGAAGCTGTGTAGCCAGGGCCTCAACACTCTCTGGAAACTGTAGAACGTCCTTCCTAGAATGCTGCAGTGATTCAGGTAGTGTTTGTTTAGTATCTTGATGATAGGCCATCATATATTTGTTGAAAAGTAGTGTTATGCAAAACCAAGGCTTACACTTTTAGAAACCAACGACAGGTGTTTTTTTTTTTTTTTTTTTTTTTGTGAAACATTATGTATGTTATTTGTTGTATCATAGCAACATTCCCAAATTAAATTTGCTAGATGAAATGGATAATGAGATAAAAAATAAAACACCCTGTCTACAAACAATATCAACAAATACCGATAAGTTAAATACAGTAGTTTATTCCGATTGCAGTTGGGTAAGTATATATCAAATTCTTATTTCAGCAATCACGCCGTCTCCAACGCCATGGGTGCCACCGACCGGGGCGCCCTCTACAGTTGATTCCCTATGTGCTATAATCCCATGGATGTGTCAGTCACAATCTACACCACCTCCACCTCCAACCCAAGGTACTGTATGTGAGAACCTGAACAACGCGCGTGCGCGCGCACACACACACACACACACACACACACTTCAAACAATAAGCATGGAAGATACTATCGGATTTTTTCCAACTAACTGAAAGTTCTTTCTTCAAAATCCACTGCTTCATGTTATTAAATTCTTCCATTAGTACTGAGTATCATAGCAACATGTCCTACCTTGAGCGAAATTTTCTATTTTCAAAGAATATTTTCTCTATTAATCAATCTTATTGGTTACATCTACTATATTTCATTTTAACACATTTGTATCAAGTAATTATCATATTAAATATTTTGATCTAATAACCTCGTTATATTGACTTAGCCGTTTTACCTTATTCTTCTTGCCTTCAGTTATATTTTTATTCCAGGTCCCACCGACGACCCTAACTGCTGGGGCTGGGCAGGGTTCCTTATTTGCCCCCCAACAGCGTCCGTTCAACCACCGGTTACTACTCCCCAACCAACTACAGCGGCACGTATGTTTTTTATAATCCTTAAAATTATTGATATTTTGAATGCTTGCTTGTTGGTTGTCCACGGTTTGAAACGCTGTGAAAACGATGTTAAGCATGTGTCCTCCTTATTTTTTCAGTAGATCTTTAAGTTCGATGTATTCTGAACATAGGATAGAAAGATATGTACCTGTCAACCACGTGGACACAGACTCTTTGCCCATATCATTTAAAGGACGCCACATTTCAATACTGGTATCGGCGAATAGTATGACATATTTAATAACAATGGTTCCAGAGAAACACTGATATTGGTATATTTAACTTTCAGCTCACGGCAGTACCATATTGAGCCCATGGTGCTGGTTTTCCCCATGGCTGTGCTCAACACCTGGTGCCACGCCCCCTCCCACAACTGGTGTCACGCCCCCAACAACAGGACCACCTCCAACAGTTACAACTCCAGGTAATGCTTCTACATGAAGCTTACTTTTTCATTGTGTGTTTATAATACAGATTCACTTCACAAAAAAAAGAACCATTTTTCCACAGCAGTTACTAGTAGTAGGTATCCTGTGAAAGCACATGTATACATAGAGACGACTTTAATGTATGAAATGTACAGGAGCTACATGCTTTATCACAGTTTGTGCAGTTTAAATCTTTAAAAATAAAAGAAAGACTTGGGTTTCATTCATGAAAGTAAGTTGAAATTGGAACTGGAAAATACTGGGTGTACTGGAACCACTGTCGAAATCCGATGCATGTGTCAGGCCCCATGTTATTCTTTAAAACTTAATTTTATGTACTGCAGTCAAGAAGCACGTAATAAAGTACATAAAATTCTATCACCTTTTTTCCAGGAGGTAATTATAATCCCCTGTGTATAATTTCACCAATAAATTGTCTGTCCAAGTACACGGCTCCTCCCCTACCGAGTTCCGAAACACTGATATTGTTATTGATATTGATATATTCTACTTTCAGCTCACGGCAGTACCATATTGAGCCCATGGTGCTTGTTTTCGCCATGGCTGTGCTCAACACCTGGTGCCACGCCCCCTCCTACTACTGGTGCCACGCCCCCTCCCTCAACTGGAGCCCCGCCCCCGACAACAGGACCACCTCCAACAGTTTCAACTCCAGGTAAGTGAAATGAAATATTTTGTTTCAATCATGAAAGTAAGAAGAAACTGAAATTGGAAAATACTGGGTGTATTGGCGCCACTGTCGAAGTCCGATGCATGTGTCAGGCCCAATGTTAATCTTTAAAAATTAACTTTCTGCAGTCAAGAAGCACGTAATAATGTACATAAAATTTCATTACCTTTTTTCAGGTGGTGATCCCCTGTGTATAATTTCGCCAATTTATTGTGGGTCCACGCCCACGGCTCTCCCTCATCGAGTTCCGAAACACTGATATTGATATTGATATATTCTACTTTCAGCCCCCGGTAGTACCATAATGAACCCATGGTGCTTGTTTTCTCCATGGCTGTGCTCAACACCCGGTGCCACGCCCCCTCCCGCAACTGGTGCCACGCCCCCTCCAACAACTGGTGCCCCGCCCCCAACAACAGTAGCGCCCTCAACAACTACCACGGCTCCTAGCACCGGTACACCAGAGCTCTATTAATTTAATTTTAAATTTCATTTCATACAGAATGTAATTAAAATAGAGTTAACGCAATAAATACAATTTGTAATTATTAAAAAAAAAAGGATGAGTGAAAGGAAACGTAAAAATGTTAAATATATAAGGCATGTATTTACTTTCAGGCTGCAATTCCTGTATCTGCAATTACCTGATATCTAAATGGAGGAGCAACGCCTGTGGTTGGTATCACTCTAAATGTACATGTCGCCATAAACACGCCAGGATGAGACCACGTGACTACCACGGGACTACTGCATGAAGACGTCGTAGCCATGTGGTAGCCTCGTGGTCTCAACTTTGCGTGTTTGCTTGGGACATGTGTGTCATTTCTATCCTTCATTTATTTGTGTTCCAGTTCATTCTGTCACTGCCTTTGCCTTAAATAAAATTGGAACACATACTAGTATAACGGCTTGTAGCCCAATGTTCGTTGTATTACTAATTTTTTTCTTTTGCATTTTGTCGTTGCTTAACTACACTATCTATCGTGAAATAACGCAAAATATGGCACATCTGTGTTTCATATCACTATCAAATACTACTCAGCGATAAAAATGACCAATATATGAACATTTCAAGTGTAATATGTAATCTATAACTTGGTTGTAGGCGGAGAATATCCACCTCATCTACAAGCCACTGTTGACGGAGGATGTAAGTTTGCAGACACATGTTCGTTTTGATCTTATAATAAAAAAATACGATGCAATATTGTATGTTTTATGAATTTCTGTTATGGTAACACGTGAACACTTGATGACAACGATAATTGATACTTCTTGCTTTTATTATTATTATTATTAGTAGTAGTAGTAGTAGTAGCAGTAGTAGTAGTAGTAGTAGTATGGTAATAGCTGTAATACATGTAGTAGTAGTAGTAGTAGAAGCATTAGTATTACAAGTAGTAGCGGTATTATTACCGTTATTATTATTATTATTATTATTATTATTATTATTATTAGTAGTAGTAGTAGTAGTAGTAGTAGCAATAGTAGTAGTACTACAAATAGTAGTAATACATGTAGCATTAGTAGTAGAAGCATGAGTAGTACAACTAGTGGCGGTATTATTATTATTATTATTATTATTATTATTATTATTATTATTATTGCAGCTTGTTCCAGCTGTGTGTGTGATCTCATACGCAGACAGTACCACATCAACAACTGTGCTAACGGTCTGTACACTGCTTTTCTAGTTATTGTTTTAATTCCTTGGTTGTACAGCACGTATGATAAAATACTGCTTTTTCTTATTTGTAGTATTATATCAATATTATGCAGTTGTGGGGTTCCTCAGTGTTCCATCTTTTACCAACCCATATATAAAACTGCTCTATAGTATAGTAATAATCGATGATAAAAGACATGCTATTTTCATATTTTGTATTGGTCAGTATCGCGGGGACTTCGTTGCCTTTTCTGAATTTAATTATGAATGATATATTTTGTGATTATTCTCAGCGGTAACCCAACCTCCGCCTGTGACATCATGTCCGCCATGGGACTCACAGTGTAATACGGGTAAAGACCACTTTATATGTTGAAAAAAATTATCGTTTGATTCTTTTAATTGTTTTTTACTTATGAATAACAAATGTGCAACTGATAAAACTGTATATCGTTTCTGAAAAGATTTTCTGTTTAATATTATCGATTTATTTCTTAGTCTAAGTCTATGGTCATTGAGTTAAGAATTAATTTTTGATATTTCTTTTCTTTTCTTTCTTTGTTTTTGTAAGCTTTGTGTATTTTACAATTTGCATTTTTTTCTTGACTCATGAAGGACAGCATGTATTGCTTATGGCGATTTGACTTCTTTTCTTCTTTTAAAAATATCATAAATATTCCCAGGTATAACCCAGCCTCCACCTCCCGACAGTTCGTGCCCCCCTTGGGACCCTCAGTGTAATACAGGTAAAGACCACTTTCTGGAACAAATTACAGTTTCATTTTCTAACTCTCTCTTTCTTAAGATTTACAGATTTATTATTGCTGAAAGCGTAAATTGTTTTTACGAAAGAGACGCTCTATTTTTACATGGGGAATGCATCGCGCTTCAACCATTCATTAAGTAATAAATGGTGTACGATTTATCGTCAATATGACCACATGTCGTCTTAGAAACGGCGGGAAAACAAGATTACCTTCAGCCTCAAACTGAGGGTAACCAATGTAAATTGGCCTGAACCGATGTATGCACACTTGACTTACTGCTTATGGTTTTATAACGGATTGAGCCCACTCTAAAACGAAAAAAAAATAAAAATAAACAAAATTGTAAAACAAACACGATATCTTCAGTTGGAGGTAGCCAATGCCCACCATGGGATTTTGCTTGCAACTCTCGGAACAGACGCAGACGCAGACGTGATCAGACCGGGATATGTGCGGCGTTTTCCTTCCTGCCCATGTGCGGAACAGCAGCGCCACCACCTGATACAACGCCCCCAAGCGGCGGATGCAATTGGTGGGACCCAGGGTGTTTCACCCAGCCTACCACCCCTCCGCCTGTCACAGGCTCAGGTATAAGACGTGTGACGTATGTTATAATCAAATTATGTGAATTTGGAGAAATGTGTATGTGAAACACATTATGTGAAGTAAAAGTATTGTTTCGTGTGCTCGGACACAATTTCGAAGTAAAGGTGTTGCGCTATGTGTTTAGAACAAGAGCGTTTCTTATAGTTTTAAAAGACGTATTGTGTACTGTGCATTGATATGTATTTAAATTGCGCATGGGATTTGGAAGCCTAAATTTGCTGCAATTTTAACCGGACTTTCCCTTCTAAATGTTGTTCAGTTGTGATTTTTATGTATCTAATATAGGCTGTAAAACATGCAGTATGACGTTCCTGACCAATGAATGGGGAACGGGTCAATGTGGTAAGTTTCAGCGACGATACGATTACATAACGTTAATACGTTTATTAAGTAATTAGCCCTACTATCATTTAGTCTGGCCCCGGTTTCACAAAGAAAAACAAATAATAAATAAATGAAAAATAAGTCAGGTTCCCAGGCTAAGAACTCAATTACCAACGATACATGGTCACATTCGCACATTTTACCCTATCAGGAACAATGTTGCAGCACTCTCATGAAAATCCTAGTCAACTAAGCCAAGGAACTGCCTTAAGTTTATTTATTTATTTATTTTACTGGGACCTGCAAGCTTCAAGAATGATAAAAATGTCTTTGATGTACGGAACACCACTCTGCGAATGGAGGGTCTTGCTTGCCATAGAAATACATATACCGTGCGTATTTATAAAAAAACGAAGACAATGTACAGATACTCTAATGTTACATTTTAGGTGGTGCATCTATACCGTGTAGCCAGTCAAGCAGTAAGTAAACAAACCTGTGTTAGGATGAGACCCATACTACAGCACAGAGAACAAAGCACTCAGAAAGCAATACAACCTATGCTCATATAAAACACCAATAACTTTCGGTTTAACTTATTTTGTGGCACATTATCATCAATAAATCAGACCAGCACTGTCCATTCCGATCACCTCAGAAACAACCTCATCTTCACGGGCAGCATTTGTATATGTGTACTCTGGTAAGAGTTAGTCATATTCAGTGGTTGGCCATGACGTGTTCGCTGCCGGAAACAGAAAGAAAAATACTGTTGAATTTTGTTTGTGACATTTGATTTTTTATATTTCCTAGGCTGCCTTGGTTCTAGTTGCCAGTGTGCCCAATGCCTTTGCAGTTTTCTCCAAAACGTGTACTGGGAATTGTGTAGTAAGTATAACCGTGCGTTTTTAAAGGTTATATTGTGTACGTGCATTGTTCAGGAAGGTGACTTTTCACAAATTAGTATTGAAATAGATACCAGTACGTGATGGAATCACATGTTTTGTCTTAATTTAAAAAAGAAACAAAGCTCGTGGTAAAATGCCAATAACCGAAAAGAGGCAAATCTATTATAAAAACACAACAATATATCCAAGTTGAAGTTCAAATGTATGAGAACGACCGTTGTGTGCGATTGCAATACAAAGTCTAATGGAGCCAGATTTTCAAGCATTGCTAAAAAAAAGCCAAATGTGTTACAAGAGCAAAGTTATTTTGAAGCAGGCTTGAAAGTTCGACATCTTTACATAATTACATTACAAAACATTTATCAATGCGCGCTGTTTTCCAGGTCCCACTGGACAAACAACACCCCCTCCAACTACACCCCCTCCAACTACACCACCTCCAACTACACCCCCTCCAACTACACCCCCTCCAACAACACCTCCACCAACAACACCCCCTCCAACAACACCCCCTCCAACAACACCTCCTCCAACTACACCCCCTCCAACAACACCTCCACCAACAACANATTTAAATTGTCTACACGTGTATGACATCTTGTTTACGTGAGAAATTTAAAATATGATTAATTCAACAGGTGCGTGTACTGGGAGCAGCCCTACCACCGTGATAGACACCAACGTGATCCCCATCAGCGGCAATCCGGTGCCAGGACGATGTGTAAACCTTCACTACAAGGGACAGGGGACAGGTACACCACAGCCTATAGACCCCAACAACAACTCGGACAAAAACACCCTCATGTTCCAGCAATGTGGGAACAGGAAGCTGGTCCTTTGTCAGCACATGCGCACTTGTCCAATGAAATAGTTTAGCGATAGTCTAGGCTTCATATATATATATATATATATATTGTAAACTGACAGCAGTGGCAACGTGAACGGTCTATCGGCAACGGATTGGCTTTAAATTATGTGCTTAGACCCTGTATGTAGTCGTGCTTGTTTCGTCATTTTAAAAGATAAAGTATCACGTATTGTTATAAATTCCCGCATGTTCGTATGTAGACATTTAAATTTAGTACATATACTCAAAATAAAGCGGGACTTCGTCATGAAACCCACTTTTATAATAGGAATCAGACGAGTTGGCTTAAAGAGAGTCCGAGATACTAGGGTCATAGAAACTGGTAAAAAAAGGACCTGCGTGTGTGCGTGGTGCTAATTTGTAAGCGATAAAGGGAAAACTCTTTACGTCGCAAATCTCGTCGTAGACACCAACACAAAAACGACAGGCAAAAGTAATGGCGAAGTGTAATTCGACAGGATACAGTATATCTGGGTGAATTCTGTCTGCTTTTCGTTGTTGCAAGCTATCACTAGTCTGACCTTGTTTTTGATCCACTCTCCCACCCATCCTGCTAGATGCTGCGTGATTTTACGCTCTGTGGCGAGATTTCGAGTTACCTCGAATGATGACTATTGATAAATGCCAGAAACCCCTAGCTGATGCAATGCACAATATATAAAACTGGTTTCATCCTCAGGGAATATAATACGTTTGAGACACTGATATTACTGTTATGAAATTACTAATGAGAGAAATCCAAGGTTTCTCTCATGTAAAATTTAAAAATTCATGAATAAAATGTTTTAAAAAAGTGAGTTTTTAATTTCTTTCAAAAAGATTCTTGTGATTCTATTTGTATAATTAAAATTGGTAACTTATTCCATTCTACCGGTGCAGCTACACAAAATGATATGTCACCATATGTTTTTAACTTTCATTTGGGAACTTATAATAAAAGTTTGTCACCAGACCTCAGGGATCTTTGAGGACTATAATGTTTGACCAGATCATTTATATATGGTGGGGCTAGGTTATAAAAAGCAGCATGTGTAAAAACTAAAACCTTAAATGAAATTCTTGCCCTAACTGGTAACCAGTGTAACTGCTTTAAAATTGGAGTGATATGGCAATCCTTAGGCTGTACGTAGCATTAAAAGCCGTGCAGAGATATTCTGGATGCGTTGTAATCTTTTAATAATAATAATAATAATAATAATAATAATAATAATAATAATAATTTATTGTCATATTTATACAAGTATAAAATGAAAATTGGTATGATCTGTCGATAAAATGTAATACAATGGAATTGTTAAAATATATTTTGTTAATTAAAAATACGTACTGCTGATGGATAAAAACTATTTTAGTGCGCGTGGAGGTTGCTTTAAATGACCGTATAGTCGGCTTGATGACATATGCATAAGTAGGCTATTCGCTGAGTGACCAGGGTCACAAGTGATTGACTCCACTCTTTTGAGCACTCGTCTCGTATACAAACATTCAATTGACGGCAAGTCCCTACCTACAATGCGCCTGGCAGTTTTTACTACGCGATTGAGGCGATTCTTGTCCTCTGCTGTAGCACTACCGTACCAGACGGTGAAAGATTGTGTTAGTACACTCTCAATCACTGCCCGGTAAAATTTTGCCAGCAGTTCTTGGTTAGCATAGAATGACCTCAATTGCCGTAGAAAGTAAAGTCTTAGCTGAGCTTTACACACAGTTTCGTCTATGTTAATGTGCCAGTTAAGATCATCAGATATATGTATGCCAAGAAATTTGAAATGCCTGACTATTTCAACCTCAGAACCATTCAGCATAAGATGGCTAATTTCTGTTGGATTTTTCCTAAAATCTGCAATAATTTCTTTTGTCTTTTTATCATTAAGCTCGAGGTCGTTTTCAGAGCACCATGAAACAAGGGCCGAAACTTGATTTCGATAATCAGACTCGGAAGTGCTAATAAGGCCAGCGCAGGTGGTATCATCCGTAAACTTAACAATCAAACAATCGGGATACGAAGCAACACGGATGTAAACAGTGAATATAAAAGAGGCGAGATGACGCAGCCCTGAGGCGTGCCAGTATTTATCTCTATAGTCTTGGAAAAGTTACTGCCGACTTTGACCTGTTGAGTACGATTAATTAAGAAATTTAAAATCCAATTACTGAGTGATGTACTAAAATGGAGAGAGTTAATAAGTTTAAAAGGCGATATCGTGTTAAAAGCAGAGCTATAATCAGTAAAAAGTAGTCGTGCATAGTTAGGGATTTTTCGATCAAAAAAAGTAAGAACATTATGTAAAGTGATAGCAACAGCATCCTCAGTCGACCTGTTCTAACGATATGCAAATTGAAAAGGGTCGAAGGACGTCGGTAATTTTGATTTCACATGTTGCAGAACAAATTTCTCGAGCACCTTCATAACAATGGAAGTTAGAGCTACAGGCCTATAGTCATTAAGACAGGTAACAGGTGTGTGCTTTTATCACAGATTGTTAAAATATTTTGGCACATAACTAGAGCGTAAAGACCAATTGTAGATGTTGCACAATACACCAGAGAGCTCATCGGCACATAATTTCGGCAGCCTGGGTGTGATCCCATCCGGACCTGCCGCTATCTTAACTTTCAATCTTTTTATCTTATCATCTGGACATCCATATGATACAGAATTGCAATAGTCTAACCTGGAAGTTAACAATGAGTGTATATTTCCTTATTCCCAATGTTGAATAAACAAGGCCTTGTAATGTTGGAGATCTGTTTGTCCATTGAAAGTGTAGAATCAAAGTATACTCCTAATTTTTTTACATGGGGGAGGAAAATGCCATACTAGCTCCAATTTTAAGATGCAGGCTGTGAGCAAGGCCCTTGTTGTGGGGTTGAGTAATGACTAAAAATTCTGTTTTTCCATCATTTATCTTCAATCTGTTTGAAATGAGCCAAACACTGAGATCTGATATGCAGTCAGCAATGGTGTTCACAGACAATGCTGGATCATGGATGTTGCAAGATGTGTACAACTGGGTATCATGTGCATAAAAGTGGTAACCTATCTTATGATAACGCAGAATTGCTTCATGTGGTAACGTGTAAACACAATATTTTAAAGGGCCAAGAACGCTCCCCTCAGGAACACCAAATAAAAGCTGTGACAGTTCAGAAAGCACACCATTTATATTAACTTGATGCATCCTCCCAACAAAATAGGATCGTAAAGGTTCTAAGGCATTATCTCTAACTCATACACTCTGCTCTAGAAATGTCAATAAAATATTATGGTCTACTGTGTCAAAGGCAGCAGACAAATCTAACAGTACCAATAACGCCACTTAACAAATCAATTTTAATTCCCAAAAGTGCAAATTCAGTGCTATGATTGGATTTGTAGGCTGACTGCATTTCCTGAACAAGATTGTTTGCTTCTAAATGCTTAAATAGTCTTACTGCTATAACCCTCTCTACTACCTTAGATAAAAATGACGATTGGAAACAGGACGATAGTTTACCAAAAGATCTGTGTCAAGGCTGTCCTTTTTTAGTAGTGGGCGAATTATTTCAGATTTAAACTTTTTTGGAAAAACACCCACAGGTAAACATTTGTTGATAATTTCCACAATCAAATTTATAACAAACGGAAGAATCTGAACCAAAAATAATGATGGGATTGGGACTAACATGCATGATGTCTTTCTGGAACTGTTTATTATCTTCATTACTTCACAAGTGGTTGTTGGTTCAAACATATAGTGATGAGTGACTCCGGTTCTTGTAAAAGTTCTGACAAAGGTGGATGCGATGGCGTAGTCACAGTCTTTTCTTATTCAGAAAGTACAAATAAATGATTTATTAGTACAGTATCTGCTCTAGAGTCAAGTAATATTTTTATCCTTCTTCTAATTATTATTATTATTGTTGATTTTGAAGATTTGTTTAAACAATTTTGTTTAAACAACTTTGTAAGTTTGCGTCTTTAATGTTAGGTTACAGAAACTTTTGATTTAACAGTATTGGTAACTCTAGGATAATAGAACAGTTGTACATATTTCATCCATCTAACTGATAGGGTCGTCAAGGTAAAATATGCCCATTTACAACATCTGATGATCATTGCCTTGCAAGGGGTACGTCTACTAGTTCATGCAGTTAATTTATATTAACCATAAGCACATTTACAGAATTTAAGGAGGTGCTTCGTTTGTAATTGTGAACAAGCAATGTTGTATTATGCTTTAATTAATTCATTTGATTTTTTTTATATATTTCCCTCAGTTATAACATTTTGCCAGGTTTGCTTCCCTCATTTGTATTGTACATTATTTGCGAAAAATTCGACTTTATTTACACCGTATAATATTGCTGAAAGTTTATTGAACTGTCGATCTATTCATTACCTATTTCTAGGTCACGTACCTAAAATCAGGCCTGTTGCAAATTCGCAGCAAATTCGCAGCAAGTTTGCTGCAATATGGTTGTAAATTAGAAGCAAGAAAATTTTCTAGCAAACTCGTTGCTACAAACTTTTAGTTTGCAGAAATATTGCTTCAATATCGTTCCAATATTGCTGCAAACTTTTCATTTTGGTAAGGGACGTCCTTGTCCGCTGCAGACAATACGCAGATTTGTTCACAAAATTCTTCCAAACAACAAGGTTTACCTTCACACGTAAATAAAGTGCAAGAGGTAATTAAAGTACTCATGTAGAGTACACACGGCAAAGAACTGTGTCATTTTCCGTCAGACTCTTCAGTCAGTGGAACATTCAATAAAGACGTTTAAGATTCATCTCATGTCGTGTCATGGTTAATTTAATGGACGATTAAGGATGAGACTATTTTAAAATTCGAGTTACGCCATTGTCACAACTAAACACATCTAAACCAAAATTACATGTTAGTTTGCACCCAACTGTCGTACATTTGGTGATATTAATTACATTGGTTTTCCAGAGAAAGATTTCTAAAACACCATTAAATCAGAAGCAGTAAAACAGTTTTCGTCTTTCGTTTTTTCGTTTGTT